ATTCCAAGTTTGGCTCTTGCACAACACCCAGCCGAGGGCCAAATCAGTAGTCCCAAACCCAGGAGAGCCCCTGGCCTGAAGGGTCCCCGTGTGGTTGCAGGGGTCCCCATCACCCAACCAGGCATCCCTGCACAGGCACCTGCACCCCAGGATGTGGCTCAGATCCAGCTCCATCCCCGGTTCTCACAGGCTCCATCACCCACTGAGAGCCCCCCAAAAAAACAGCCCTTCCATGACCCCAACAGCTGGGATGAGCTACAGGCTGCTGGGGACACGTGGCTGTGGAAAGGGCCCTCCCCAAAAGCGGGACCTGGGACCCTGGTCAGTCCTGCCGGCAGCTGCATTTATTCCCAGAACAGGGTGTTTTCAGGGATGGAAGCAGGTGTTCCTGGTAGGGTTGGTCTCATGGTACAATGTTACCCCATAGAAGGTGTTGAACACCCTGCGTTTTCCAGCCCCAAGACCCTGGCACAGCCACAGTGCCTCTCCTGGGTCTCAGGGCAGGTCTAGTATCGCTCCCTCACTCCTGCCCAGCTCCCCAGGAGAGATGGGTCTGGTTCTGACCTGTCCTGTCCTGCCATGCTGCAGCCAAGGCCAGGGAAGGTGCCAAAGGGCTGAGGGAGGCATGAGCCCAGCCCTGTACCTCCTGTCATGGCAGGACCTGGCCATTTCCCGTCTGGGAACTCTCCAGAGAGGCAACTCTGGGCACTTGGCGCGCCGTGCATCCTTTCAGAAGGTCGTGTCATTAATCCTCTGAGAGTCCAGGAGGCCTCTGAGCAAGGGAAGTGCTCTGTAAACACCCACCACCGAATATGCACACTCAGCCTGAGCAGGTGATTAATGGTCCTGGGGTTTTTGTTCCTTCCATCCTGTGTTAACAGAGCCACTTCCTGGACTTTCCAGCAGCCACCAGAGCCTCTGGCCCAGCCCTGGGACAAGCCATGGCCAGGGCTGCTCGCACACTGCCAGGCTCTTCCCAACAATGAGACTGGGGACCTTGAGGACAGAGACGTTGTGCCTCCCACTCCCACCCACATGATAAGAAAGTCCATGAATCAGAGCCTGAACCAGAACTGAGCACCTACAGTGTGACCTTCTCTTAAAAAGCAGCTTTCCCAGACCTTCCTGGACCTCAAAAGATTGACAGTTACCAGAAAGCCCAGCACCTTGTGCTGCACTTCCTCAGGTTTGGGGCTTGCAAGTGCCTGGAGCTGCTCCAGCCACCCGCACAGGGGGGCAACACAACTCCATCACTGGAGTTATGGAAACATGATAAACCTCCAGCTCCACGAGGGCCAGTTCCAATGGCTCAGCCATCGAGCCAGAGGGAGGGCAGGGGACTTGGCCCAGCTCAGAGTGACACAGCAGAGCCCCCAGGGCAGCCCTCACTCACCGAGCCCCTGAACAGTGACCCACTGCAGCCCCCACTCCACTGCCCTCTCCTCTAATGGACTCGGACCTTCCTCTGGCCCAGAGGTGCACAGGAGCTCCTGGTGCCCCAGGCACAGCCGAGAGAGAGCAAGAGGTTGAGTGCACAGGGTGAAAGGAGCACGCCCAGGCTCCAGGACAGGAAACCTTTGAAGGAATGAAGGGAACGATTTGAAGGAATGAAGAGACTCAGAAGCCTCAACACCTTTCCTGGAAGCCAATTGTGCTTCCTCCCACAGGGCAGGAGTGGGGCCTTGTGCCGGGCAGCACTCAGTCCAGAGCCATTGCTCAGGAAGCAAAACAGTTCAGTGTGGAGACACAAACCACTGAGGGACAAGGGCTGGCTCCGGGACAGGATACCTCCGAGCCCCTCAGGCCGGGGTGTAGCCCCAGGCTGTGACCACTGGCACCAGAAGGGTCGAGGCTTTGCCTCTGCCCCAGGGACCATCATGCCCCAGGGACCATCACGCCCCAGGGACCATCAC